TAGCCATGAACTATAGGATTAAATCATATATAAAAGTTATTGTAAATGTATGACAAAGCCCAAGAAGTAATGGAAAACATACCATTGCAACGTTCTTATGCTATAATGGTTCCTTAGCTTTGAAACCAAATGCACAAGAAACCAAAGGAAAAAAATAGATAAATCGGACTTCAGTAAAATTTTAAAATCTTAAAAAAAAAATAAAATTAAAATCTTGTGCTTTAAACGATACTAACCAGAAAGTAAAAAGGCAACTCACAGAATGGGAGGAAATACTTGCAAACCATATATCTCTTAAGGGTCTAGCATCCAGAATATATAAAAAAACTATTACAAGTTGACATTAAAAACGCAAATAACCTAATTTAAAAATGGGCACAGGATTTGAAGATACATTTCTCTGAAGATATAAAATGGCCAGTAAGCACATGAAAAGACACTCAACATCAGGCATTAGGGAAATGCAAATCAAAACTGTAATCAGATACCAATTCACACCCCTTAGGATGGCTAAAATAGAGACAGAATAACAAATTCTGGTGAGATGTTGAGAAATTGGAACTCTCAGATATTGCTGGTAGGACTGTAAAATAGTGGAGCCACTTTGGAAAACATTTCCTTGAAATGATGAACCTAAGTTATCATATGACCCAGTAATTCCACTCCTAGGTATATGCAGTACTGGAGATGAAAACTTATGTTCACACAAAAATCTGTACATGAATGTCAGAGTAGCATTATTCCTGAAACTTGAAAACATTATGTTAAGTGAAAACAGCCAGGCACAAAGGCCCATAAATTGTGATTCTATTTACATTAAATGTCCAGGACAGGTAAATTTATAGAAAGTAGATTGGTAGATATTTAGGGTTGTAGTGGGAAAGCATGGGAGGAAATGGGGAATAACAATGGGTATTGGGTCTCTTTTTGGGTTGATAAAATATTCTAAAATTGATTGTTGATGGTTGCACAATTCTTACTAAAACCCATTGAATTGTATATATACATGGGTAAACTGCATGGTATGTGAATTTTATCTCAATATAACTGTTAAAAAAAGTAGGGTGGTTACATGAATCTATACGAGATAAAATTGCATACAATACCACACATGTACCTCACAAATAAGTACATGTAAAAACTGGTGAACTCTGAATAATGTCTATTGACTATACCAGGGGTCGGCAAACTGTGGCTCGAGAGCCACATGTGGCTCTTTAGATACATTCCGTCTCAAGTCTGCTGACCACTGGAACAGCCAATCCTGTCCCTCACAATTAAAAAATTATATAAATGAAACTGATAGCTTTATTTTCATTTTCAATGTTAGTGCTGAGCCACACGCTCACGAGCCGCAGTTTGCTGACCCCTGGCTGCTCGCTTTTCCGTCTCAAGTTTGCCAACCCCTGCCCTAGACCATTTTCTAACAACCCAAACTCAGAAACTTTACCCTGAGGATTTCTGTACAGCTATTTGTATTTATCATAAACTGGCTAATCACATGCACCAATTTGCTTGGTACAATTCTGGTTTTCACTCATTGTCCTAGCATAATTATGGGCACCCTAATTATAATTTACTTCGTAGATTAAAATATGTCTGTATAGTGGATGTCTAAGAGCAGAGTGTTTCCACTGTATACAATAGTCAAAACCCTCTCCTTCATGAAGTACCTTTCAATTTTATATAAAATGAAGTCTTTTCATCCATATTTATTATGCACCCTCTCCAACCCTGTACAAGCTCTTACATGTCAAGATGTAACTAATGTGGGCCAGCCGAGTGGCGCGTTGGTTAAGAGCTGGCTTGGGACGCCAGAGGGCCCCGGTTTGGATCCCACATGAGGGCGTGACACTGCCCTCTACAGCTAAGATGCTGAACAACAGCTCAACCTGGAGCTGGGCTGCAGTGAGCCTCTGTCAACGGCATAGGCTGCAGCCCTTGCTGCAGTGGGTTGCCATGGGCTACCGTGTGTAGCCAGCAGCCAGTGTGAGCAGCCAGCAGCCGCAGTCCAGAAACTGACGACTGATCTGCCTCGCCCGGGAAGAGCGCAACGATGGTGCCAACCTGGGCCAGTGAAGCAACGTCCTCCACAACTAGACTGAAGAACAAAACGACAGCAACTTGTCTGTTCCCCTTCCCCCAATTCCCCAATAAAAATCTCAAAAAGAAAAAAAAAAAAGTAATTAATGTGAACTGCCTCTCACAGAGGGAAGATGAGTTCTAATGTGTTCAGAAAGATGGTAGGTCAGAGAAGGGGCTGATGATTAAATAAAGAATCAGCATTTGCTCATAGTTAACATTTGGAAAAGAAACTGAAAACGAGAAACTTTACAATTAAGTTGTAGTCTCTGAAGACAAGGTCCTAACAGACAGACTAGTACAATGCCTTCTTACAAGTGAAAAGGCTGAAGTTTTAAGGGGGGAATCCATGGCACTAAAGATTCTGAAGCTGAGGTCTTAAAGAGTAATACATGTGTTCTCATTTCTAGAGTATTAATGTATTTTTTGGGGAAGAGACCAAGCACTCACTGAGTTCATCCCACAAGAAGCCATAACTTTATTAATGATAGAAACAGTACAAATTTCAAACCAAGCTGCAGTGACTCTTTTGAAACACCAAAAAAAGGTCCTTGTCTTTTATAGATGGTTACATCGTTAATTCCTGTAAGAGAAAAAAGATCATCAGAGGTACAGGCAAACAGAGAATTCAGGTCACTAACATCAGAGGCAACTCAGGATAGATAGGCTTTGGAATGCAGTTTCCTAATTGGGTGATATTAAGCATAGAAAATTAAGTCACCCATAATTGATGAGGGCAGAGGGCATCAAGAATAAAGGCTTGGACACTTACCATAATAGCATTTACAATATCATTACTGTTGTTCTTTAGGGCTCGGACTGCCTTTGCTCTCGACACATTTGCTTGTGACATGACCAATTCTATGTCCTTAACTTCCACACCTGTTTCATCAACCTGAGAGGGAAAAAACATTTAATAAACTAAAGGCATGAACAACTTCAGCATAGTTCTTTGTTAGAGTGAGGAGGCTCTTGAGGCTAGCTCTTAATTTAACTCAAAAACCACTTCATTTAATGGGATTCAAGAGCCTAAAACAATATAGAATTTACCCATCAATATAAACATAATACTATCTGGAGAGGATTAAAAGTATAAAAGATTTCCCAAGCGAGCTCTTAACTGAGCCACTCGGCCGGCCCAAAAGTATAAAAGATTTCCTTGTATACCTCTTCCTCTTCGCTTTCCTCTTGTACAGTTGGAGTCTGTGTGTTTTCTTGAATGTTTGAGACAGCTTCACCTTGAACTTTGAATTTCTCAGCAGCTGCTAGCTGTGCTTGCTGAGATAAATCCTCAATCTACAGAACAGAAAATAGAGATTCATGTGAGATCAGTGTGCAGTAAATGAAAGAAATCATTTACATCTTTTCCAAACTCCCTCTAAACCCCCTTCAAGTTAACTTACTAAATAGCTTTAAATTGCTTGCCCTCATTCAGATTATCTATCACTGTAGAAGTAGCTAAGGTTTAAGGCAGTAATTCTCAACTGGAGGGTGATTTTTGCCTCCCAGGGGATATCTGTTAAAATAACTGGAGATTTTTTTTTGTTATCACAACTGGATATGATGCTGCTAAATAAACATCTATAATGCATAGGACAGCTCTTCCACAATAAAGAATTATCTACCCCAAATGTCAATGGTGCTGAAGTTGAGAAACCCTGGTCTAAAGCAGCTCCCAAGAAAACTTTCCTTACCTTTGCTTCCCCGAAAACTATGTACGTATCTGATGCTGGACTCTTGTAGACATCTGGTTTTGTGATGACAAAGAGGATATTCTTAGATTTCCGGATAGTGACCCTAGTAACCCCTGTAACCTGTCGAAGACCCAGTTTGGACATAGCCTAAGGAATAGAAAAAAAACCATCAGATTTTCAACTTCTTTAGAAGCAACTTTAGGAAGGACCACAATACCACATCCAAACAAAGCTTTTTCCTGTGCTAAGAAAAGTTTATATAAGAATACAGAATTGAAAAAAAAGAAAAACAAAACAAAAAAAATACAGAATTGGTTTACAGGATTCCTGTATTTTCTGCCATAGTAACTTGTTAGTTTAACTAAACATGATACTACCATTACTAAGAATTCCACTACAGTTCCCCCTGTTCTAAAGTTGCATCGTCAGAAACTTTAATTCTTGTTTTTAACTTAAAATCTTACCTTCCGTGCCTTCTTTTCACTCCGGCTCTGTTTTGCTTTACTGACGGGTTCTTCATCGATTTCAGCTGCTGCTGCCAGCTAAGATAAAATAGCTATGAGTAAGATGGAATGTAAAAGTTGGATACCACAACCCCGCTGTGGTTTTCCCCTTTATGAAGGTTTATATAGCTCCAGATACATAGCTATGTAAGTCATCTTCTCTCATCAACTCTGTTCTCCAATGCTTCCTTAACTCAAGCACTTATACTAGTGAGTGAGAAAATACCCACCTGGGCTTGTTGTGTGGTAGCCTGTGTGGAATCTTGTTCCTCAAGCTCTGGTACTGATTCATCACTGTCAGATTCTGTTCCAGATCCTAAGATGACAAGAAACTTTTACTATTTTATAGTAGCGATTATTAAGGAGGAGGCACTTCACTGTGGCCTGCCTGAACTAGAGGTCACTGGTTGATGTTAGACCTTCCAATGTTAAATGTAAATCAACTGACTTGTGTGAAGGCAGGTTGACAGCCCCCCACTTAAGTCACAAACTAGTGTGTACACATCCATTAAAGACCCAGCCCCAGAAATGAGAGGTAATTACTAGATACAGCTGAATAGTTTATATACTATAACGACTTCCTTTCCCTCAAGGTCTTTACTTCTTGGTATAGGCAAACACCAATGACCTATGTAACTCCATATCCTACCCAATAGCCCAACCATCCCAGAAAGGTTCTGGCAGAAGAGGTGTCTGCAGATACAGTGATATGAAAAAACAGTATAATCACATAGTGGAGGCAGATCAGGGAGGGCACTTTCCCCTCATCCTTTAAACTGGGTTGGGGGAGGCCAGAAGCAGTTGTGTACACACATTTAGTCTTATTTTAAAACCACTCACCCTAGCAATTTGATCTTATCAATATAGCTTAAAGATTCTCAATGATGCCAACCTATAGTTCCAATAGTCACCTCTACTAGTTATTGTCCCGTGACCTCTTCCATATCTTTCAAATGTAATCCACATATTTTAAGTTCTCCTCAATTGAAAGGCCAAGCATCAATAAAGACTACTGCGGGGAAAAAAGCACACACTGACACCATTCTCAGGCTAGGAAAAATAGATCTTTTAAGAAAAGGAAACCCCTGGGCACCGGTCATTACTAAGTCTAAGAAGTGAAAAGAAATTCACAGTTCCAATATTCAATAGTTTCCCAATATTTTAGCAAATCCCAGGCCCAGGGACAAGGTTAGTGATGTGGTAGAAATTAGAGCAAACTAAGGGTCTAGTAGGTCTTGGTTTTCAATGTCAGATCAGTTAGTTAAAAAGATGGCAAACTCAGGTTAGTCTGGACCCCATTACACAAGATGATACATAATGGACTATCTGAAGTGATGAAAACCAAGACTCTGCTTCACATTCCTAGAGCTTTTGCATTTAAAATTATCATTCTATGTTCTATGTCCAAACAAACAGATATTCTGGAGAAAGCGGCGCTTCCTAGAGTTAGTACTGGTGGGTAGCCCCCAGGAGGGGTGTGGGCGACACACCATGCACACGGCAAACCAAGGCAAATACCCTTGTTGTTCTTCAGAACAGGCTGCTTGGCAGAGGGGGGTGGGGCAGGGATCCCAGCAGGTTTGGGGGTGGGCATGTTGACGAGGACCGACTGGAAAGGCACTCCCCCAGAGATTGGTTCCGGGGGAATCAGAGGCGGCAGCTCATCCTCATCAGCAGGGGCTGAGGGCTTACAGGGTGATTCCAGCACCAGCCCAGGTGAGGACGGCAGAGGTTGCTGTTTAGGAAGCAGAAGGGGAACTGGGGAGGGAGCAAGAGGCAGAGAGACTGATGGGATGGGTGCTGGAGAGACAGATGTTGATCCAGCTTTAGGAAGGACGTTCTCAGAGGCAGCTGTTGTTAGAAGGGTATATGTCTCAGACTCAGCAGGAGCTGCTACCGGACCCTTTGGAGAACGAAAAGAATCTTTGCCTTTTAGGGGGGGTGTAGGGAGGGATTTTGGAGTCTTTGGAGAAGTGCCTTTCTGAGCAGAGGCTGTCAGTAGAGGGGCTGGAGCCACTGAAGAAAGGGATCCTTTGGTATCATTCTTAGATGAGGAATCTGAGCATGCAGGAGGTGAACTCTTCTTGGCTGGTGAACCTTTCTGAGTGGGAGCTGTGACGACTGGTGCACTTTCTGAAGGTGGGGTAACAAGCACTGATTTGAGATCTGTGGGGCCTTTCTTTATTGGGAGCCCTTTGGATGCCTGAGGGGCAGTGGATCCCAAGGAACATGTGACTGAAACTGGAGAAGTAGGGGAGTCTTTGGGGGATGGGCTTACTGGTGCCTCTTTGAGCAGAGGAGGAATTACAGCTGAGGGATTGGGGGCCCCCTTAGGGGCTGGAGAAACCACAGCTGAAGGAGTAGGGGCCCCTTTGGAGGATGCAGTTCCGGGCGCTCTTTTGGGTGCTGGAGTCCCTTTGAGAGATGTGGTAGCTGGGACTCTTTTGGGAGCTGGAGTTGTCTGGGGTTCTTTGGGGGAGGGAGGAGCTATAGCTGAGGGAGTGTGGGCCCCTTTGGGGGCTGGGGTTGTTGGGGACTCTTTAGGGGGTGGGGTAGCTAGGGCTCCTTTGGGGGAAGGAGTTGCAGCTGAGAGAGTGGAAGCCTTTTTGGGAGATGTGGTACCTGGGGCTCTTTTGGCGGCTGGAGTTGTTGGAGATTCTTTGGGAGACGGAGGAGCTATAGGTGAGAAAGTATAGGTCCCTTTGGGGGCTGGGGTAGCTGGGGCTCCTTTGGGGGAGGAAGGTGTTGCAGCTGAGGGAGCAGAGGCCTCTTTGGGAGATGCAGTAGCTGGGGATCTCTTGGAGGCTGGAGCTGTTGGAGGCTCTTTAGGGGCTGGGG